AAAAAAATATCTTCTTGGGTTGGGCTTAGGTTTTGGATTAAGGTGTGAGTTGATTTCAGGTGTGTATTGATAATGGGTAGGGTTAATTACAGTTTTAGTTTTAGGCCTTAGAAATTAATTTGAAATTAATAAAAGTCAATGCAATGTTCCTTTAAGGACATTTAGACATTACTTGTACTGTATGTGTGCATATTTAGTATGTTGCATATATAAATACATCCCTTTTTTGATATTTCAATATCTATTTTTTTACAAGACAGCACTGAAGATACTTTAAATTGTGATATAATGTTGTCATTTGTACACAGCTATTGTGCAGCTGTTATTCCTTATAAAGTTACACACACCCTTGACGTCTAATCTAAATCACATCCGTCATGGCGATTCGATTCCGTATTGATTTCCTTAACCAGCGATTCGATTATTTTCGATACTCAAGAATACACCACGATACGATTCCATTCGATTAATTGTTTTTTGTTGTTTTTTTAACACCTTACATGCTAGACAATCTTTCAAATTTGAAATAAATCAATGAAAGCTGTAATATCGTTATGCATTTTTTTTTTGAGAAACAACAGCAAATAACAGAAGTAGAAAAGTTTCACTCCACCTATTCCTATTAAAACCTCATTCACTGAAAAATCATAATACCCCTGTGTTATAGATTCTGAAAGGCATTGCATCAAAAAAATACTGCACAAAAATGAGTGCAATTCAATACCTCGGCTCCAGAGTGTCGATGTCCCCGCCCCCTCCACAGACGCTCCGCTGCACCTCTCCCAAATTGTAGCTGACCGCATACAGGTGGCCAGGCTTGTTTTGTTTTTATGACCGAAAATGCGGAAAACAACTTGTGAAGTTGGACCTGCTAGAAGAGCGAGGTGCACAAGAACGCTGGGACCGTTTCCACCCGGATCCCCCCTCTTTTTGGCCCTCATGTCCCTCCGTTGTCAGACTAAACTCGCCCCCACTTCCTCACCGCCTCGACCTTATCTAGACCCACAGTGTGTAGCACAGACCACACTTCAATATTGAGCATAAATCAAAACTGTCTGTGTCAAGCTTACTGCAACACACTACTGTAAGAGTATAACCAGGAAGCGAGGTAGGAGGGCAAAATAGGTTTAGCGCCACCACAGCACGGGAGGGAGAATTACACCCAGGAACAATTGATAAAAATAGACAGGAGGAAAAAGAAAAACATGAATCGATACTCTTGCCATTTATCCCTATGTACGCTCTGTTTAAAAGTTGCTTTTCTCATAGCTCATAGAAGCTTACTGTGTCAGCACATCCCCCCTAACCCCTAAATCCCTCAATCACTATATAGAGCGGGGACTATAAAGTAGACTTTATAGTGAACTCAGTTAAGTTACTGTTCAGACAGATCATCACTACTTTTTGCTCCGTTGGTCACGTAATTCCTCCTCCACTGCATGCTGCCTCTGCCATCTTTGTTATTAGTCACCACAATGATTGACAATTAGGAGGACCACTTATTTAGTTGAACCAGCTGGAAATAAAAGATTTTCCTCTGTACCTTTAACCTTCGGTTTCTTTAGGGAGGCAGTGGGTATCTTGGAGGTGTTTTCTGGTTGTTGCCATTTGGGATTCTATCCTTTAGCCCATTGTCAGAAGGGAGGGGGATCACGCTCTACTTTGGTAAACCACATTACATGATAGTATTCAAAGCTCTCTCAGTGAGCGATAGATCCCCACAAGCAACAACAGTTATGCAGCCCCATACTGGGACACTTCTACCACCGTGTTTGACTGTAAGACATGTAATCTTGGTTCCACCTCAAATCCTTAGCAAAATGTGAACCAAACAAATATACCTAAGTCTTATCAGACCACAAGACATGGGGCCAGTAATGGAGGTCCTCACTCTGCTTGTTGTCAGTAAACTGTCCTTTGTTTTCTTAAAAGATTCCTTCTGAATTCAGATCAATTTGATATTGAGTGACCTATGGTCTGAGCAATCAGGCTAATCACCCCTTCAGTCTCTACAGAAATGCTTACAGCACTAGTGTGCCTTAAAAGACAGCCTTTGGATGTAACCGTGAGCGATATGCACTGAAATTATTTGTTTCAGTGAAATTATTTCAATAGCCAAGCCACTTTCGGCCATCTTAAAGGCGTCATAGAATGGAAAACTGAGTTTACATTGTCATAGATGAATAACGATAGTTCAGTGGGTGAAATGGCCCTAAAGAGAAGTTCAAACCCCATCAACACCTCCTTTCTCTGCAAATCTCGCAATTCTAAACTTCCACCATAAAACGGGTAAATCCAAACAAAGCCCCGAATTGACGTCAACTCGGGGATGTTGCCTTATTTGGTTCTGGCCTGTACTTTTCTGACGCTCCGAAATTGACATACAGACCAGCCCACTGGTTCACTGGCCCAAGAACATGAATGGAGGTTGCCAAGATGTAAGACACCACTTTAGCTGTTTAGCCTACAGTTGGGTTTACTTCTACAAGAATTACAAAGCAGGCAGTTTCTCTATTGAAAATGAGCCAGAACCACAGGCGTAAATGCAGTGTTCCAGGCTGCACGGAGAAAGGGGAAACATTTTTACAGTCTTCCCAAGGATCCGAAGACTCAACAGGCATGGATTATTTTTGTCTATCAGAAGATCCTTGCAAAGTTTGATGCTCATCTGTTTATTTGCTCAAAGCATTTTACGGAAGAAAGCTTTCAAAATCTTTGAGGTGTTATGCTTCCCCCGCCTGCCTTACCGGGAAGCACGGGGCCGCCAGTGTCCAGGCTATCGGGTTCGGTCGCCCCTTCCCCCGCTGGCTCCCTGCCCACAGGCTTGTATTAGGGCTCATAGAACAGCAAATAAATGACAGTGAATTTATTACAGTAACTACTTTATATTGTATCAGATGTTTTGTCCTGTGAAAATATCTAAAAAGAAATGTACCTAAATGTTTGGGGTGTTGTCACTTTGCTGTTGAGCTTATAAACAGAGTATGTTAATTGGTAAATGACATATTTACAATTACATACAATGACAAAGTTTGTATTAGTGAAATGTCTGAAAAATAAAGTGCATTTTTCACATTCTTATCAAAGCTGCAATATCACATTTATAGCAGGGAAGGTATGCTTGCTCAAATATCTACATTAGTATGATTAAATAGTGGATGTCGAGGTGATTTCTATTGAAGAGAATCACTTTGTCTTATTTCTCCAGCAAACTCGGTGTGAATTGCCATGAACTTTAGCCTGTAAAACTTTAGTACATTTATTGAATGGTACTAAAATGACTCCTGACTCATGTTCATGCTCATGCTCCCCGAGGAGCCTTGGAAAAAAGAAAGAAGAAGATAGATAATTGTGTGTGATAGAAGTGTGAACATTTATCTGTTAACAATGAAGTTCTTTGCTATCACAGCGGTAAGGGAGGAATACATTTTCCTTTTTCTGATATCATATCTCTGCATGCTGAAACTTTATTTTTGTAGTTTTTTTTGTCTTTGCTCTACATTTAGTTATCTGGGGAAATCATGCCAAACCTGACTTTGTTTTTCACCTTTGCTGTTTAAATAGGACATGGAAATGCAGAGTGACTTTAAGGTTTTTTTTTTTATTTTGCTTTTCTGCTCACTTTGTGCTGGAAATGAAGGGAAAAAAAAAACCCTGGCTGATATAAACCGACTCGAGATTAAAGAGCGATTGTGGAGATGTGAACATCACGTTCCTGCACTTTTCAGGGAGCTCAAAGATTTGTCAGACCACCTGTCTGTTCTTATTTAAATCAACATTTTTATCTTCGGCTGCGGTTAAATTTTCCTGCAACAAGGAGAGTTTGTCAGCTCTTTCCAAACATACATTAAGAAAATGAGTAATCGAGTGATCCAAGATTTCTTTATTGACTCCTATGGAAGTGTGTAATTGAAAATCAGGTTTTATAAAGTGTGTTGTTAACAAGAACGGGTCACACGAGCCATTCTTGGTGAGTAAATGAAGCCTAAGGGGGCCAGCCTAATGGGGTAATGTAGTTAATAACATCTGAAGGGTGATGAATGGCCAGTCCTCTTTCTTGCTGAGTTCTCAGACAACAAATTAGTTCCATTAAAGGCCGCAGTTAAAGGAACTCTGAAGGAAGCTGATTAACTGAAATTATTTGGATTGAGTCATTGTGAACCTGGTTGGGGCCTGAACAGTTTGTGTAAATGGGACTTATCCTTTATTAGGTGCTTATTTACTCATTCATTCTAAGTTTGTTGTCAGCACAGTCAATTGTGAAAATGCGGTAACCTTCAATTTCCCTTTGAGAAAGAAAAAGAGGGGACACCCCCAGTTTTTAATTAAATCAACATCTAGATCCTTTTTTCTTATTTCCAATTAACTTGGTTCTGTAACATGAAAGGCTTTTTTTCAATTTACAGAGGCCTGAGAGGGAGATGATCGACAGCTCCAATTGCTACTTTTAGATTCATTTGCTGATTTTGATCAGTGCCACCACAACATGACTGCCTTGAAATGAAAGTAGGATTCTTTTTTATTTTTTTGGAGGGAAAAAGGCAGCACCATGACAGGTATATGATATATTCTCTATATGATGCTTTTTAAATTATATTCAAGCTTTGTTGTGAAATCAGAAGCAATGTTGTGGGTGATTTAAGGTAATTGGGAGTCATGATTAGAGGAGTATCATTCTGTTAGATCTTGGCACAAGAGGAGGGGGACGGCATTCACCCCCAGTTTTTCCCTCTCTCCTCGTTACTCTGTCTGTGAGGATGGTCGCCCTAAGGAATGGGATGCTGTATTTCTTTGGCAGCCTCCCGGAGTGGCAGCACACACAAAAAAAGACTGACACAGATTATGAGAGATTTATAGGAGTGATAAATACTCCCTCTTTTCTGCCCCTCAAAACAGCTTTTCATCAGCTTCTCAGTAGAGCGTCCAGATGATTGATGAGGGGACTGTTCTTTCTAGTTGTCCACTCCTAAAGCTGTTTATGCTCTGTTTCCCCATTCCAGATGCAGATCTACCTTTACAATTCAGACGACTTTGACAGCCTCAGCGCCGCCATCAAGGAAAGACGCATTATTGCTGCCATGGCTGTGTTCTTTGAGGTAAAGTATCAGAAATACAGGTAGAGATTGCCAACAAAATCTGCTAATAGAGTTAGACTCTTCTCTTTTTGTCCAAACTGCATCACAATAGCATTTCAGATGCCTTTCGCAATTTTTATTGTTTCAAGTTACAGCAACTTAAAAACTTAAACTATGTAGTGCATATAATTTTTATTATGTTTATATTGTTTTTCATACATTCTCAATCCCCTAAAAAAAAGTATCTTACAATTAAGAGATTTTTTCTTCTCCTTTGGTCAAACTCAGTTTCTCCTTCAGAATTAATGACTAACATTTCAGTTAACTTTGGTATCCTATGCCTCATACTAATTAGCTTTTCAGCATTGAAACAAGCTGCATAAGACACATCTGGGACGTATATATAAAGCGTCAAGAATTCACCAAATATTGCACACAGGAATTAGCATTCAGCAAGTGTGGTCCACAGAGCAGCACCATGCAATATGTTAAAACATCCTCATGCATAAAAGGTTCATTTTCCTACCCACAGTTCAGTTTTCTCAGTGGAGTTGCTCCACTCTTGAGGGAAACCTCTTTGTAACAAGCTCTGCCTCTGGTTGCTTGGAGCACTTATGGAAAATGTTCCTGTGCAGAGGCTTATAAAACACCTGTATCTGCATAAATGGAGTTTATTTCTTTTTTTAAAACCTGAAATTTAAGGTGAATCTTAAATGAATGGATCAGAATTTGTCACACTGTTCTGTGAAAAGGTTAAACACCGTTCTTAACTTCTTGCATTAAATGGCACACAGTGTTTTCATTTAGAGAGGATTCAAATGTGTTGAATCCTGAAGCTAAAAAAGCTTCAGTCTCAAACACAGTATATGGGTGGGTTATAAAACACTTTTTTTTTGTCTTAAAACACCCTTTTTCATCAGTTTGGTAATTACACAGAAAATCTTGTGAGTCATTTTTAGTCTTAACTCTTTAATTAACATTTGAATGTCAGTTTCATGACATCTGGTCTTATTAAAGTGCTGCATTTCTGCCGGTAATAATCAAATTATTAGAATATGTTGAATGTTATGTAGAAAATGAAATTTGAAATGCAAAAACCTGTATCGGTTGCCTAAATTAGCTAGGTAAAGAATGGACTCCAATATACAAATAACATTGCTTTTAAAGAAAACAATAGAAATATTTAGCAAGAATTAACAAGTAATTAACTGAATGAATAAAACAAGAAGTGTTTTATTTTGTAATATGGAAGTGTTTTTGAAACCATGTTAGTTTAAAGGTTGTATTTCACGATTTCTCTTTAAATGTAGGTTAAAAAAAAACACATAACTGTGTAAGTAGGAGACCATTCGACCCCTTCTTGTGTTCCTCAGGGTGAACCTTGTTCACAGCTCTGTTAATGGTCCATCTGCAGCACTCAGATTTTCTCAGTATACAGGGAGAGCTGTGGAGCTGCAATGCATGGCTGAAACCAAAGCTCACTGGACACATAAACACTAGAGGTGCCAAAACACAACAAGAGGAAACTAGCAAGACTGAGCACACATAATGGTATTAGCTGAGCTTGTCACAAAGATTGGCTTATGGAGCAGCTGATTGATGAAATGATCCCAGTGGAACACAAAGCCGAACGGCGTTTGGACACTATACCTTTAAACTAGTTTTTGTTGTTGTTGTTGTTTTTTTTTTACACAGTCTAAAAATCATTTAATATACAGTTAATTTTGTAGAATGTATTCATCATTAGTTGACATCTAAGCCATTATTTCATTATAAAACTGTAGTCTTTGCTATAGGCCCACTCCTAGTTTACAGAGGAAATTAAGATAGAGGGCGGGACTTCACATTCATGCATTTTCATAACAAACATCATATACATTTACAGTTGGGGCAACTAACTGGTGTGAATGTGAAGGATTATAAAATATCTGTTATTCTCTACGCTAGTTTATGTATCTTTCACTTATTTCCTGTAAACACTGCTTTACATTTCTATTAAAGATCTGTTTAATTCTCTATAGGAAAGATGTCATGTAGTTTATTTATAAACAGATGGCTTGATCTCTTCATTAATGATATGGTGGTTGCAGATTTTTTTTCTTAAACCTAATAAATATGATGTTTAGGATTATAATGTACATCAAACCAATTAAAAATAACTCGGAAAGGTAGGTTAAATACGATTTATTATTATTATTTTTTTTAAAGCTGCTCTTATTCTCTTAAACATGTCTCATCAGAATGCATATCACTGTATGATATCACCAATATAACCAACTCTCTCGACTGTTTTACTAACCATTAGCTTTTTAATGTCCGCTATTAAAGATCACAACAAGTTAAACATTAACTTGATTTCCTCTGAACGACTGTGTTACTTTGGAGATAGGAATTATCTAAAGATAACTGTGGTCTGCTTTGTTTTTCACTCCTAAACTAGACGTTAGTGTCAGCTTCAGGCTGCAGCTAATTTACATTTATCCCTTTAGGACATGTCAAGTACCATCAATATTAGTTTAATAACCAAAAACGTAGACTCTTTGAGATTAATGAAAAATCTGAGGTATAAATATGAGATTTATATAAGCTTACTTGTGGTTGTAATTTAGAGAGATAAAATGTTTCATTTCCATTTATCTATTAGGACACATTTGCTCTTGATTAGTAAGATCGGTCCCCAAGTTTAAAAGCACCTCTTTGATTGGTTGTACTTCTAGAAGCTTTACTTACATCTTGTGTGCCTTCTTCTATGTTACACTAATTTCTATTAGTGTTTTCTTAACAAGTATTGGCTGGTGATCGATGTATGCCAGCATTCAGCCTACTGGCATACCGGTAAGGGTCAGAAATCCGGCAGAGGGAGCTTGGAATGGGGACACAGGTGTTCCGTAATGTAGGTCTGTTCTCAGACAGTGATGAACCACATGTGTGCAAGGACCTAAATGCCTCCGTTGGGTCCTGACAGCCCTATTGCTTACTACAATTAGCATCACCATACACAATCCGCTGAATAGCAGTTTACAGTGTGAGGTTTTTTTTAAGCGGGCACACACACATTGGCTCTGATTTACCATTTCTAATCAATGACTAGAGTTCTTGTTGGGCTCCCCAAAGGCCTATTAAAGGCCTCTAAGGTGTGCATATTATCCACATTCAGCATTCATTCCCACACAATTATTCCTTTCAGACTGACCTGAATTAATGTTGCATAACAGTAGGGGGGATAGTCCCAGCATCCCAACACTGTTTTGTCCAATCTTGTCTCTTAAGTAGGACATTGGAGATATTTATTGGTCAAAGAAAATTGCCAGTAATTTCCAACAATAAAATGTAAGCTGAACAAATTACAGTAGAATGTTCCTTGGGGTTTGGGTGATCATTAAAGGCCTGGAAATATAAAAACAATTTGCGATAAAAAAGTTCAGAGAGATCCTTTGTCCACTCATGGCAAAATCATTTGTTTATTTATATATATATATATTAATAGCAATGCTGATTTAATATTTAATAACTTATCTGTCTGGTTTCTATTATGTGTTGATCAGGAATAAAATGAAACAGTCACGGCTCTGTGTGCAAGTTTGCTAACGTTGCAGCTGCAGCTCAGGTTCCTGTTATGTTAAAAGTGATAAGTGTTACTAGCTCCCAACCAGTCACATTTCTTTAGCAAAATTTCACCAAATGTTCAGGAGAAATGTGGGAATTCATGCGTGACATTGACACGTTCTGTTGCTGTTACATTAAGGGATATGTGGTGCATGTGTGAAAGCGGTTATATACAGCGTTTTCCCCTCAGTTCACTGCTCAGGAGGGTGGGCGAACCACAGCAGTGGTGCAGCTAAACACCGAGAGAGATGTTAATGTGGTTCGACGTCTATCGCTCGTGAACTTGTGGTTTACAGTTCCTGCAGAGGTATTTATACCTCTGCACTGTTTTTCACGTTGTCATGTTGTAACCACAAACACTTGTTATTTTGGTTTGTTTTTATTTTGCAGATCTTATGTTCCACCAGCACAAAGCATTGCTTGTGACATGGAGAACATTTTTTACATCGTTTTCTTTTGTTTTGCAAATAAGAATCTTAGCAGACACACACACACACACACACAGAGTTTAGATTTTCTACAGCACCTTTTGATACAGCTACAGTTGCAGCCCTTTCATGTTATGCCTTTACCAGCTTTGCACATCCAGACAATGAATGTATTACCAATTCCACTCTGCAAAATAGCTCTGGTTTTGGATGGAGGCGTCTGTGAACAACAATTTACAAATCTCCACAGGTTTTGACTAAGAGTAGAGTATTCTAAAATATGACTATGCTTTGATCTGAACCTTTCCATGATAGCTATGGCTGTAAATGTAATGCCTGCTACCCTGCTGGAAGGGAAACCTGTGGCTCTGGTCAATTATCTCAGGTCCTTTGCAGTGTCCAACAGGTTCCTTTCAGGATTTCCCTGTATTTCCCTCCATCAGTTTTCCCATTAACTCTGACCCGCTTTTCCCTTTTCCTGCTAAAGAAAAGCATCCTTACAGCCATGATGAAACTGTGTCACAGTTAGAAGGAAATTTTCAGGATGATGTATTGTTAGTCTTCTACAGAATGTATTATTTCACATGTAGGCCCAAAACATCATCATAGAAGATAGAATTTCTTTACTCCCTCCTGGATTTTTTTTTTTTCATGCCTTCTTCTTAATCTACATGCACCTTTTGGGATTTTTTTAACTGTTGCCTTTCGCCCTGTCATTTTTCTCAGAAGGCCAGTTTTATAGCTGTCTTCAAAAGCAAAAACTGATTATCCTGTCATCCGATTGAGCTTACGCTCTTTTCAGTTCCTCCAGCGTTGATATTGACCTTTTGTCAGCTTTTTCTAACTGACTGACCTCTCATTGTTACTAAGTCTTATATTTGTTAGGTTTCCTTTTTTCTGATTAATGATAGAACGTATCTCTGTGAGAGAAAACGCCTGACGTTGTTTTATTAGCAAACCCTACTGTGAACCTCTCCACATTGTTGTCCCTCATGTGTTCCTTCTCATCACAGGTTGTTGATTAATGTTCCCTAGCAAACCTCTGAGTTCTCCAGAGAACGCATGTGTTTTGACTGATATAAAATGACAGAGATGTTAATTGTGTTTAATAACAAGGTCAGAACTGAAGGCTTTTTGTTGCACAGGATTTTTTTCAGTAATATTTGCATACAAATTCACTTTACAAAGATTTGTATTAAGGGTAAAAAGTAAATGTCTGATTTAATTTCAATTCTTAAATAGGCTCTTTATTGATTTGATCCATTATATAAAATCTGAAATAAATACATATTAGTAAGAAAAAAAAATTGGATCTGCAATTTTATCATAATTTCCTCACAACATAGGTAGTCTATATATATTCTAAGTCAAACGATACATAAATGGGTTATATTTACCAGTTTAACCAAACANAATTTTATCATAATTTCCTCACAACATAGGTAGTCTATATATATTCTAAGTCAAACGATACATAAATGGGTTATATTTACCAGTTTAACCAAACAGAGAATATATATTTATTTTTCAATCTGTGTAAAAAGATAATTAAATTGTATTTAATTATTAGCAACATTTAGAGTCTAAAGTTCCACTCTGAAAAAAAAACAACAATTTTTTTTACAGTATTGTATCTGGAACAGCTTATTCTTCAGCAGATGCACAAAATGCTGCTTTTTTCATTATTTCTTCATTTGCGGCTTTGTTACATCATGAAATCTTCTGTAGCTCTGTTGCTGTCTCACACCTATGCAAACACGTTTTCCACTTGCCTAACCTGTAAATTTTACATCACTGCAATGGTTCCTCACAAAATACCACCCCAATAAATCACACTGACAGAGAACATCTGAGAACATGAACAGCTTTCATTAGAAAATAAGAAACTGAGAAGTTGGATCTTTATACACCTGATTTAAATGTTACATAGATTACACATGGGCAATAACTTGATCCCTCCCAAATTCCTTTTGATACTTCTATTAAACAAATCCAAGCCTTTATAAATGTACATTTTGTGTCTATTGTGTACTTGGGGCTGAATTTGCTGAAGCGTATCATCCAAAGTACAAAAAATGTGTAACTGTCTAAACACTTATGGTCTGGACAGACTGCCTGCCTGCACGGCTGCTGCTGTTTGCAAAACTTACACTTCTCACTGCGAGGAGACCCGCTACAGTCTGTTACCATTGCAAACTCCAGTTTCAGATGCTGTTGCCAAAAACCACATACTAGCAGCAGATGACACAGCAGAGATTCCAAGTTATTTTAAAGAAACAAGACATGAATGCAAAATCTGTTACTGTGCTTTTTGCTAGTTAAAATAACTATTTTTCCCCAGCAAAAGCAATCAGTTGATTAGTTCATTGTGAACTTAGCTTACAGCATTCAGGCATAAGAATATGATCACTAGATGAATTGCCTAATGCTGCCCTGGTCTTCATGATTGCCTCTCTTAGTGTGGAAGATGCTAGGCAGCAAGTGAACGTTTACCCCACAAAGATGGTGTGTAAGAAGGAGAAATTATGGGAATATGTAAAGATGTGAGTAAGGAAC